AAAAAGATAACATACTTTTCATTGATTCGTTAAAACTCAAACACTAGTAACCTTCTTATCTATTTTAAATGAATTTAAAGTTTCAACAACATGGATCTTATTCTATCCAAAAGCACAGAGAAAACTTTATTAAAGTCCTGAGATCATTTAGTTTATGATTAGCGCATGGACACATATGTATATAACTGATTTAAAATTATTTCAAGAATAATATTATTTTTTTTTGTCACTTGTGTACCTTATCTAGGATGGACAACTACAGGAAACATGGCTGTTGCACGACAATATCATACAGCATCCATATTAGGAAACGGAAAGGTATTAGTTACTGGTGGATCTAATGGCAGTAATAGTCTTAATAGTGCTGAATTATATGACCCAACAACAGGTATTTGGACAACTACAGGATACATGAATGTTGCACGACAATACCATACAGCATCTATATTAGGAAATGGAATAATATTAGTTACTGGTGGAAATAATGGTAGTATTTATCTCTACAGTGCTGAATTATATGATCCAACAACAGGTATTTGGACAACTACAGGAAACATGAATTATGCACGAATCTTTCATACAGCATTCTTATTAGAAAATGGAAATGTATTAGTTACTGGTGGATTTGGTCGTATTTATCTCAGTAGTGCTGAATTATATGATCCAACAACAGGTAATTGGACAAGTACAGGAAACATGAATTTTGCACGAGAATATCATACAGCAGCCATATTAAGAAATGGAATAGTATTAGTTACTGGTGGATATTATAAAAGTGCTCTCAATAGTGCTGAATTATATAATTCAACAACAGGTATTTGGACAATTACAGGAAAGATGACTTTTGCGCGACAATTTCATACAGCATCCATATTAGAAAATGGAAATGTATTAGTTACTGGCGGTTCTGGTAGTTCTTATCTCAGTAGTGCTGAATTATATGATCCAATAACAAGTAGTTGGACAATTACAGGAAACATGAATGTTGCACGAGAAAATCACACAGCATCCATATTAGGAAATGGGACAGTGTTAGTTACTGGTGGATCTGGTAGTTCTTATCTCAGTAGTGCTGAATTATATGATCCAAC